ATATCCCTAGGGCCACGACCTCTTTTAAACCCAGCTTGTATTTCTGATAGTTCAATGTCAATGTACTGTTTCAGTTGTTTCTGGATAATCTTTAGCAGGATTTTGCTAGTGTGTAATATTAGTGATGTTGTTGTTAATTGCTGTCAAGTTGAGCATGACTCTTAGCAACCCTATAAACAAAAGACCTGAAGCCTTTCTATCACTGTCATCATTTCTCAAAGTTCATAATGTTTTCAGAGGCATGTGGTTTAGGAAATGGAGCTCCACCAAACACTGTCCACCATGGGTAACCATTATAGCATTTGACACCTCAATGGCACAAGGTTCAGCATCACAGCAACCCCAGGTTATCTCAGTACAGCAAGTTGAAAGAAGAGTGCTGTTTCTCCTCCAAAATAAAATAAAAGCCAACTTTTAAATACAAAGGCCCTCCCTGAGGTCTTTTTGACTCTAACAAGAGGCTTAAATAAAAACAACTGATAAGTTGTTGTTGTTGTTGTTATGTACCATCGAGTCAACCTGCAGCCTATAGCGACCCTATGTATAGCAGCTCTAAACCCTTCCCTGTCCTGAGCCAATCTACTAATTCCAACACACCAATCCCGATTTCCCCAGTTACCGTATCAATAATCCATCGCATCCAAGGTCTTCCTCTCCTGCACTGTACTTCCACCCTTCGAAGCATGATGTCCTTCTCCAAGGACCAGTCTATCCTGGCCACATGCCCAAATTATGTGAGATGGAACTTCAAAATCCTAGCCTACAAGGAGAGACTTGATTTCACCCTCTCCAAGAAAGACTGATTTGTTTTCTTGGCATTCCAAGGTATGTTCAAGACTCTTCTCCAGCACCACAATTCAAAGGCATCAATTCTTCTGTCATCCTTAGTCATTGTCCAGATCTCTGAAACACAGCAAGTAATGGCAAAGGCCATGGCCTGGATTAGGCGTATCTTTGTCTCTAGACTGACATAGTTGCTTTTCAGTACTCTGGAGAGGTCCCTGACAGCAGATTTTCCTAATGCAATTAATCTTTTGCTTTCCTGACTGCTGGTGTTTGTGGATCTGAGCAAGCTGTAATTGCTAACAACCTCAATCTTTTCTCCATCTATCATGGTGCTGCCTGTTGGCCCAGTGGTGAGATTCTTTGTCTTCTTGATGGTGAGCTTCAATCCATATTGAAGACTACAGTCCTTGACCTTCTGCAGCAAACACTTCAGGTCTTCTTCAGTTTCAGAAAGCAAAGTTATATCATCTGCATACTGTAGGTTGTTGATGAATCTTCCTCCAGTCTTGATGCCACATTCCTCCTCATAAAGCCTTGCTTCCCAAATGATCTGTTCTGCATACAGATTGAAAAGGTATGGGGACAGGATGCATCCCTGACATACTCCTTTTATGATTTTGAGCCATGCAGTATTTGTCAGGTCACCTTTTTTTAGGAATGGTAATCCAACATTACATTTTAAAAAATTATAATAATCAAGTATTCAAAGATCGTTCAACATAAGACAATTAACATAATTCACCACACTAACAATTAAAAGAACAAGAACCACATTATCTTATCAATTATCAATGCAGAAAAGGCCTTTGACAAAATCCAACAGTCCTTCCTGATGAAAACACTCAACAACATAGGAATAGAGGAAAATTTCGTCAACATCATAAAAAGTATATACACAAAACCAAGAGCCAACATCATCCTCAATGGAGAGAGACTAAAGACATCCTCCTTGAGAACAGGAACTATGGTGAGCTCTGGTGGCCTAGTGGCAAGAAGTTGCACTGCAATCCCAGAGGTACGTGGTTCAAATCCACCAGATGCTCTGCTGAAGAAGGAGGAACAATTGCCTCCTGTATCAGTCAGATCTGATTTGATGGTACATACATTAAAAAAAATAATTAGTTTTTAAAAAAAATTAAAAAGAGGACAGGAACTAGGCAAGGATGCCCACTATTTCCTCTCTAAATCCAATACAGTATTGGACGTATTAGCAAGAGCAATAAGGCAAGACAAAGAAATAAGAAGTATCCAAATTGGCAAAGATGAGGTAAAACTATCTCTATATGCAGAAGATATTACAGTATATTTATAAAACCCTAAAGACTCAGCAAGAGAACTATTGGACATAGTCAAGAAATTCAGTAAAATAGCAAGGTACAAGATCAACACACAAAAATCAGATGGATTTCACTACAACAACAAAGAAAATATAGAAATGGAGCTAGGAAAAACAATACCAATTACAACAACTAATCACAAGATTAAGTACTTGGGAACAAATCTAACTAGAGACACAAAAGACCTATACAAAGAAAAATTACAAAACATCAGTAAAAGAAACAAAAGGAAACCTAGAGAAATAGAAGAGTATACCATGCTCATGGATAGGAAGACTCAATATTGTGAAAATGACAATTCTACCAAAGGCAATCTACACGTTCAATACAATCTCAATACAGATAACTAATTCCTTTCTTCAATGAGATGCAAAAGGCAATTTCTAATTTTATCTGGAATGGAAAGAGACCCTGAATAAACAAAACACTACTGAAAAAGAGATACAAGGTAAGAGGCACCAAACTCCCTGATCCTACTATACAGCTATGGTGGTCAAGACAACACGGTACTGGTACAGCAACAGAAATATAGATAAGTGGAACAGAATTAAGAACTCAGCTATCAGCTCAGCTAGCTATAGTCAATTGATCTTTGACAAGGAGATGAAATCAGCTAAGTGGAGAAATGACAGTCTCTTTAATAAATGGTGTTGGCAAAATTGGAAAACCATCTGCAGAAAATTTAAGCAAGACCCACACCTTACACCATATACAAAAACCAACTCAAAGTAGACCAGGGACTTAGAAGTAAAACCAAAGACTACAAAATTCATCAGAGAAAAACTAGGGACAATTCCAGAAGCCCTAATTCACAGCATGAACAATCTTCCAAGCATAATGAAAAACCTACAATAAGGAGATAAGAAGATAAATGAATGGGACCTTCAAAAACATCCCTATGCACATCAGAAAACTTCTACAGTAAGGTTAGAAGGAAACCCACAGACAGGGGAAAAAAGATCTATCTGATAAAAGACTTATATCTAAAATTTATTTAATTTATAAATTAAATTTTTTCAACAAGAAAAAGCTAAACAACCTAATCACAAAACGGGCACAGATATGAATAGACACTTCACCAAAGAAGACATTCAGATGACAAGCAGACACAAAAAGAAATGTTCAAAATCCCTAGTTTTCTGAGAGATGCAAATGACAGCAACAATGAGATAGCATCTCATCCCAGCAAAAACAGCAAAGTTCAACAGGGCAGCAAACAACAAATTCTTTCAAGATTGTGGAGAGATTGGAACTCTCATTCACTGCTGATGGGAATGTACAATGGTGCAACCACTATGGAAGGCAGTCTGGAACTTTCTCAAAAAGTTGGAAATAGAAATACCATTTGATTCAGCAATTCCACTACTCAGAAAGTAAAGAAACAGAGTCACAGCTTAAATAGATGCATGCACACCCAGGTTTATTGCTGCATTATTCATTATAGCAAAGAGAGGGAAGCAACTCAAGTGCCCATCAACAAACAAATAGAAATACAATGGTGCGTTCATACAATGGAATATTACACAGCACTGATAAACAATGAACTCATAAAACATTACACAACATGGGGGATCCTGCAGGGCTTTATGCTGAGTGAACTATCATGGTCACAAAAGGATAAATGCTGCATAACACTGCTGTTATAAAACAGGACAGACACGGGGTGGTTGGAGAGAGAATGGGAAGAAAATGGCTAGATAACTAAGACTGCTTTAGAACAGATGAGGGGAAGAACTGTCTGAAAGGAATATATAATATTAATATATTATTAAGGAATATATAATTAAGCATAGTATGTATGACAACAATCTGGAACAAGGGGTAATTTTCAGGGTGTGCTGGGGGAGGAGTTATGGGTTAGAAAATGTGCAACAATGAATAAAAAAATCAATATTTTTTTAAAAAGCTAAAGTCCTAAAGTATAATTATTTTTATCGTAGGAGTATGCAATGAGGGTTGTAGAGTGGATTATATTTGGGGCTAGGGGGTGGGGTTTGGGGAGGGGCGGGGGGGGGATTGTGTACCAATGAGGGAGTTTTTCTTTTGCTTTTCAAGGAGAGGAGCAAAT